GTTTTTAATAGATCCTAAGGATGAGAATCTTAAAATGATAGAAAAGTCTCCCTCCTATTATTTAAAGGATTATAAAATTATTATCTGTATAATTATCTACATACCCACCTATTAATACTCTACCAAAATACAAAGCTTCCTTTCCTTAGGTACTCTCCAAGAGTGTTTCTTTTTAATGCAATTATAAATGTAGATTATTTTCCTGCACGCTTAAAGTTGGGCATTATTCTACTTCATTGGTTTTCTACCAAAGTATTTTGGGTTGTTCCCAATCTTTGGCTTTTACATAGGGGTGGTGAATACTTGAAGGTCACTGTTGTGCAAGTTTGCAAGTACTATGTAGGTAAATTTGAGGGAAAGCTGTTAGTGAAGAGACAAAAAAGTATACATAATTTTGCTAGATATTGCCAAATTATCTTCCATAGGTACTAAAAGAATTTCACCCCCAATAGCAAGAATACCTGTTTCTTCACAAGATCACCCATAGATGACTGGACTCTTGCTGATCTTTTAAGGCACATAGTCTGATTTCAGTATTTCTGGCTTAAGTCTGCTTCATAGGCCAGCAGTTGTGGCTCTCTCAAATTTCCCTCAGCTAGCGCACCCTTCCCACAATCACTTGGCAATGAATGTGTGCACAAATGTAAACTGGAGAATTGGGAACCCAAATTCTGCAATGTGAATGAAACACACAAAACGGTCTTTGCCTTTAAGGAGCGCCTGGGTGACTCAGTAGGTTAGCATCAGACTCTTGATTTTGGCTCCTTTCATGATCTCATGGTTTGTGACATCCAGTCCCTTCTCGGGCTCTGTGCTGTCCATACAGGGCCTGCCTGGGATTCTCTCTTTCCAAAAACAAATGAATATTAAAAACAACAGGGTTGCCTGAGGGGCTCAGTCGTTTGAGCATTTGACTTTAGCTCAGTTCACAAACTCGTGGTTGGTGAGTTCAAGCCCCACATTCAGCTCTGCAGGAGAAGGAAATACCAAGGAAAAATCAGAAATTCATAAAATAGTTGGAGCACCTGGGTAGCTCATTCTGCTAAGTGTCTAACTCCTGATTTCAGCTCAGGTCATGACCCCAGAGTTGTGGGATCAAGTCCCAGGTAGGGCTTCAGTCTCAGTGAGTAGCTTAAGATTCTGTCTCTCTCACTCTGCCCCTTGCCTCAACTTGCATGTGCTCTCTCTCTCTCACTCAAAATAAATGAATAAATAAAACTAAAAACTTAAAAATTAGAAATAAGATACCAGAACAATAATATGAAAAATAATGCCAAGGTTTTTCAAAACAAACAAAATTGGAAATTCTTCAACTCCATTAACTAAGAAAAAAGGAGAGAATTCAAGCACCAAGTGGAGAAATGGAACAGAAACCTCACAACAGATAACCACAGAAATATATAGTGTGATAACAGATCACATCAACAATTATATACTAACAAGTTAGACAAAATAGAAAAAAATGTAAATTTAAACAACGCACAAGTTACCAAGATTGAAAAATGAATCTTGAGCTCAAGAAATAGGAAATCTTCTTAGACCCTCACAAAAAAATAAGTTGAATTTGGAATAAAAAACCTCCCAGTATAGGAAAGCCCACAACCTCTTGTCTTCATTGGCCAATTCTGACAAACATTAACAACAAAACAAAATTTAGGACAATCTTCATGAAAATCTTAAAAGTAGAATAGAGGGAACCCATTGAAAGTAACCCTAGGAGGCCAGCATTACCCTGGCACCAAAGCAGGATAATTGCCACACAAGAACAAAATATCTGGTTTGTCCATCCTAAGTATTGCTACTCTGGCTTTCTTTTGACCTTCATCTGCGTGAGAAAGGTTTCTCTACCACCCTCACTTTCTATCTATAAGTGTCTTCAGGTCTATATGGAGTCTCTTGTAGGCAGCATATAGATGGGCCTGGGGTTTATTTTTGTGTTGTTTTTGTTTGGTTGGTTTATTCCATTCAGAGACTCTATGTGTTTTGATTGGAATATATAGTACATTTTCATTGCAGGTGTTTATTGATATACATTTATTGCCATTTTATTACTTGTTTTGTCATTGTTTCTAGAAACTTTCTTGATCCTTTTTCTGTGTCACTGTTGGTGTCTTCTTTGCACTTCAAGATTCCCCTTTGACATTTCCTGCAGGGCTAGTCCAGTGGTGAGGAATTCCTTGAGATTTTGCTTGTCTGGGAAACTCTGTCTCTCCTTCCCTTCTGAATGAAAGCCTTGCTGGAGAGAGAATTCCTGGCTGCCTATTTCTCCCAGTCAGCACGTGGAATAGATGGTGCCACTCCCTTCTGGCTTGCCAAGTTTCTGTTGAAGAACCACCAGGTAACCTTATGGTTCTCCCTGATAAGTGAAAGATGTCTTCCTGCTTTGAAGAGTTTTTCTTTATCACCGTATTTTGTAAACTTAATTCTAATATATCTTGGCTTGGGCCTGTTTGTGTTGATTTTGATGGGAGTTCTCTGTGCATTTTATTCTTTATTTAAAAAAAAATTTTTTTTAAGTTTTTGTTTATTTTTGAGACAGAGAGAGACAGAAAATGAGCAGGAGAGGGGGAGAGAGAGAGGGAGACACAGAATCTGAAGCAGCACACAGCCCGATGTGGGGCTCAAACTCATGGACTGTGAGATCATGACCTAGTCAAATTCAGAGGCTTAACT